AATGATAAACCTGGCAGCCAAGAGACAATTCCTCATATTGCCCAAGTGAATGCCTCCCTCCACACTGGCACGTCAGTTTCTAACGTTTGCAGGGTTCTCAGAAGGTTAGGCTTAGTTGGTGAACAGATGAGACTACATAAGCATTGTGAAGCAATCACCTAAAGCTATTACTCTCAGCAGTGGATTTTTGCTCTTGTTTCGATTGTAGTTTTTCTTTTCTTTCCCACTCCATCCTCTAAGGTTTTTCATCCCTGTAGATATAATAAAGGATGCCTCGTGTGTTAGCATTGAAAATATGAAAATAAAATATAACTTCAAGGAGGGAACGGCCTGGGCCGTATTTCTTAAAGCAATCAAAGCTCACATCACGATTCAGAGATAACTTTGCCAGCTTCATAGCATGCTGCACTTATCTGAAATCACAAGGTATTGCATTGTTATTATTGCTGATACATCTTTGAAATTGACATATAATGCTATATTTCTCATAGTGGATTAAAATGTTTTTGTTTATTTATTATTTATTACATTCAACCTTGTGTGCTAAGCTGGTGGCCTTAGCAGGATATGTGGTTCAAGGGTTGTTGTATGATGGACCCTTCCATGTGACCTCGGTGGGTCTAACTGAACAGATTGAATGGTACTGGGAGATGCTTCTCTGCTCTTCATTTCCAATTAACAGTACTTCTGTGCTGGCCCTATGACTATTTTGAGATTGTGTCTGTCTGCCCTGCTGCTGCCTTTAGGAGCCACCTTTTAATGGTTTGTAATCTTTGGAAATGCTCTTTCTAACTCTTCTAGTAACTCTGTACCTCCAGGAGAACAGTGTATGAAGAAAATGTAAACATGTTTTGATTAAATTCTCATCAGTGGTTAAAAGTATAATGATTTGTTAAAGTTACGGTATCATGGATCTCTGAATATCTGGATTTTGTAATTTTCCCAATAGTACATAGGTTACAGTGTTTTTTTAGAGCCAGGTGTACACGTCGGTTTTTCACATAATACAATTACTTATACAATCAAGATTAAGGGTGGAACGGTTCACAAAATCCAAGGTTCGGTTCGATTCACGGTTTCGTGGTCACGGTTTTCGGTTCGGTTCGATTCGGTATATGTTGATTGTTACACCAAGCAACTAAACATATCAGACACAGAGTCATCGACTGACCTGTTGAGGTTCTTTTGATTACTTTATCATCTGACAGACAACTCTGTGATGTGGTTTATTCACATTAAAGAATTTACCTGTTTTCTCATCATTAAAGAAGACTTTTAATGCAAAGAGGAAATCTTTGCTGCTTGGCTTGTCTCTTTACATCTGAATCACCAAGGATATTGTGAAATAACAGGTCTGAACAGGGTGGGTCTAAATGGATGCCACCATATCATTTGGAAAACTTAAAAAAACATATTAAATATTTTTTCCTTCAAACAAATGTTCACCCAATTATTTCTGTATTTATTTACAAAAAAAGTGATATCATTTTCAGTTAAAAAAAAATTAACAACAACTTTGTTATTAAACAAAAGAGTTATTAGCCCTAGCTAAGAAAGTGGAGATGTAAGGAGACCCACTCAGGACTTTCTGTTTCCTAATTAGGCCAGTTCTTGGTGTCAGCACTGTTATATTTGAGGTCATCATGCTACAGGGTCCAGTTTAGCTTCAGCATGAATGGTCACACATTTTCTTTAGATACTCTCTGATACACAGTAGAATACATGGTGGATTATTATGTTGTTGAGCTGCTGCAACAGGTGCCTCCAAACCATGAAACTTCCTGTTTAATGCTTCAAAGTTTGGAAGAGGCTTTGTTAAACTTGATTGCTAATGTAGGTTTATACCAAACATTTCCTCTGTTTTAGTGTTGAAATGTCACAAATTTAGACACAGCTCAGTTTGAAGAACATTATTTCAGAGATCCTCTTTATAATCAATGTGTTTATCTAGCAAACTTGATGGATTTGGCATTTTGGTACAGTTAAAGGTAAATATTAATAAGATCCTGGTGTAGATCCTCAAATGAAGACATTTTAGGATTTTATATAAGTCCTTTAGCATATAGCATTTTCTGTTTTCAGGAGCAACTTGCTTTGATGACGCGAGCACACACTTGGAGGCTGACTGTCCAGTGTCGTATATATTTACTGTAACTAGTGACTGACTTTACAATCTTTTGAAATCTCATTAAAACCCTTATTAGATTTAAATGCTGCCAAAATATTCTCTCTAAATGCCTCAGATAGATCCATTCATTTTCTTCTGCTTTATCCGGGGCCGGGTCACGGTGGCAGTAGTCTAAGCAGAGATGCCCAGATTTCAGGATCAACACTCACCTCCTCCAGCTGCTCTGGGGGGACCCCAAAGTGACATCAGGCCAGCTCATATACTCCCTCCAGTGGGTCGGGGGCCTTCAACGAGGCCTCCTCTTAATAGGACATACCTGGAACACTTACCCCGAAGGAGGCAACCAGGAGGCATCCGGAACAGATGCCTGTGCCACCTCAGCTTGCTCCTTTTGATGTGGAGTCCGGATTTATGCTGCCAACGCTGCACCAATCCGTCTATCAATCTCCCGCTCCATCCATCCCTCGCTCATGAACAAGACCCTGAGATACGTGAACTCCTCCATTTGAGACAAGGACTCTCCACCGACCTGAAGAGGGGAGTCCACCTTTCTCAGGTGGAGAACCATGGCTTCAGATCTGGAGGTGCTGGTCCTCAACCCGGCCGCTTCACAGTCGGCTGCAAACCACCCCAGTGCACGCTGAAGGTCCTGGTTTGATGAGGCCAACAGGACAACATCATCTGCAAACTGCAGAAATGATATCCTGAGCTTCCACAACCGGACACCCTCCGGTCTCTGGCTGCACCTAGAAATTCTGTCCAAAGGGCAGCCCTGTCGGAGACAAACATGCACCGGGAGCAGGTCTGACTTACTGCCAGCAACGCAAACATAGCTCCTACTGTGGTCATACAGAGAACAGACAGTACTTAACAGAGGGCCCCGCATCCCACACTCCCTGAGTAACTCTCAAAGGCACCACAAGGGACACGTTCGAACGCCTTCTCCAGATCGACAAAACACATGTGGACTGGTTGGGTGAACTTCCACGAACCCTTGAGCACTCGATGAAGGGTATAGAGCTGGTCCGGTGTGCCTGGACCGGGACAAAAACTGCATTGTTCCTCCTGGATCCGAGGTTCAACTATCAGCCGGATCCTTTCCAGCACTTTGGAGTAGACCTTACCACGGAAGCTTAGGGATTGCCACCACGACAAGAACCAGAGACGTCCGCATGGACAATGGAGGAGGAGAACATGGACCACTCCGACTCCATGTCTCCAACCTCCCATGGCATCTGGTAAGAACTCGTCCGGAGGTGGGAGTTAAAGACTGCACTAACAGAGGGATCCACCAGAAGTTCCCAACAGGCATGCTTAGGCCTGCCAGGTCTGACTGGCTTCCTACCCTGCCAGCAGATCCCGCTCACCACCAGGTGGTGATCGGTTGATAGCTCAGCCCCTCTCTTCACCTGAGTGTCCGAGACAGATCAAATGACACAATTACAAAGCCGATCATCGACCTCCGGCATAGGTTGTCCTGGTGCCAAATGCACTTATGGACATCCTTCTGCTCAAACATGGTGTTCGTTATGGACAAATTGTGATTAGCACAGAAGTCCAATACCAGAACACCACTCGGGTTCAGATAGGGGAGGCCATTCCTACCGATCACCCCTGTCCAGGTCTTACTTTCACTGCCCACGTGGGCGTTGAAGTCCCCCAGTGGAATGTCTATTACACAGTCGATCCGTTTAAATTAGGAAATACATTTAAAAGGCCCTGTTAGTTTTTATGAGTTATTTTTTCAGTATTTCTATGTGAATCTTTCAAAGATAATTGAGAAACAAAAAGGCTGTCTTAGGGTCTTCCTTTTTAATCAGGAGTACATATTGATATTTCTCAAAACAGGGAATGAAACATGTAGGACTCTTTCTGACATAATTTTTTTTTCATTGAGGCATTTTTTGTACAGAATTTAAGTTCCCAATTTTCCTGTGGCAGATAGTATCAATTAATTATTACAGTTTTTGGTCCTGATCTTTATTTATAGAATAGCAATTTGTTCCAACAAGCAACATTAAGGGATAATGTTGCTAGGAGACCTGAACATGAAGACGTTTATCCCGAAGTCATCCAGCTGCCCACGTGCTCTGAGTTTTGTACGTGTATATGAGCACACCTCCCCTGTCTATTGCGCCTGTGTGTCCTTGCTCTTGCTCATTCTATAAAAGCCGCCAGCATCGGGTTCACTCACTACACTCTGTGATTTTCACTGAAGCACAAACAAAGGAAAATCAACTAAGCTCTGCTGGGAGGACAAAAAGCTGATAATGCTTGGGGTTGTTTCCTTTTTTAAGCACAGTTTGTCAGGACCGAAGAGCAAACCTTAACTCCTACACTGATAAGCATCTTTACCATCTCTGATTCATCAAGTTGCTCTTTTTCTTTTTTTTTTCAAAGTATGTGGAAGCGCTGAAAGGTTTGGTTCACTCTGAAAGGAAGGGATATGAAACGAGGAGAGGTTTAAAAAAGCTGTGGACTCTTGCTTGTGAAAAAGCTCAGAGAAAACCTCTCTCTGCCTGTCTGCACTCGGATTCTTGTTTGGTGGATGGCAGATCTCACTAGACCGTGACCCAGCATGCTTTAAGTCATGCATTGGTGACATAACTATGTCAGCTGGCTCTGGAAACGCTCCTTTTTTCCCCCGCAAAAATATCGATTCTGTCACTATGTTTGCACTTTGAGTTTGAAAGAAATTTGTTTTTTTGTAGTTTTTATTTTTCTAATTTGGGAGTTTAGAACTTTTTGCAGACAGATATTATATTCTATTACATTTTCTCTTGAATTTCCAAATTTTGCTGCAATCTCAAACCTTTCACAATCACAGTTTTTCAAGTTTCTTATTGGATTCTCCTTGTTTTTCTCGACCTTCGTTCTCAGCCCCAGAGGAAAGTGGACATAAAGCAAGCATATTGCAACACAAATATTCTCATAATCCACAACCTGCCCTCCTCAGTATCTTTTTCATCTTCCCTCGCTGCAGCCACCCTTCTTTCTAACACAATGTTTGAGGAGCCGTGGAACTCCACAGATCAGGTCGGGCTCAACGGATCAGAAGCAAACGCATCTCTCGTAAGACGCTCATATGACATAGATGAGGAGGGGAACCAGCATCCATTTCTCACAGACGCCTGGCTGGTTCCGCTGTTCTTCTCTCTCATTATGCTGGTTGGACTAGTGGGCAACTCTCTTGTTATTTATGTTATATCTAAACACAGGCAGATGAGAACTGCCACCAACTTCTACATAGGTAAGCTTAAACTATATTTATTATTTTTAGACAGTGAAAAATGTGACAGAAATACATGAGGACATGAGAGTGAGATACCATGACTTTCTAAAATGTGTCAATAAAATAATCAGCCAATAAGTAAAGCAACAATTAGACTGACAGGGCTCTTCATCCCTTATTTCACTCTGCTAGTAGTAGAGGGAAAGAGTGACAAAGATTTTAAGAAGTGATGTTTGCACAATAATTTCTGCAAAAGCAGTGTAGCTTTCAAATAAAACGAAATGTTGCTTTTTTTCATTCATTTGGCAAGTGGAAAGATTAGGCAGGCCAGTCCATGTATTTTATATCAGAATGTGGTTCTGTGTGATATTACTGGAAATTGCACGCACATCCCTGAAAAAAACATGTTTACAGCAGCATATTTTAAGAGCCCAATGTTTTATTCATGGTGTATCACAAAGAAGACAAAGAATGCTAGAAGGAATGATACACAGTGCCTGTCAAAAGTATTTATAAGATATGACATTTTACAACATTTTAGGGTTAGTATTTTGGGAGGGTTTTTATGGAATATACCAAGGAAAACGACAGACGGTTTTCAGCTTAATTTACGAAGATTAACTTTGAAACACATGCATTTGTATTCAATTCTCTAAGCCAATCTTTTAGTAGGGCCATCTTTGCATTCATTTGCGGTTCAAGGGTTGTTGTTTTTTTGTCTTTCAGTCTATCACATGTAAAAAGTGGATTTTTCTTCTCCTGTTGTTTTTCAACAAGTAACTCAACAGCTGTCCATGTGCTGGAGAAAATTATACCCACAGCATTATGATACCTCTACCATGAGAAAGCATTAAAGCACATTCCTTTACACTTTCTTTCTGTCCTCTCATCACCAGTCCATGTGCTGTGTTTCTTGATAATTATATAGCTACGTTTATTAATGTTCCACAAGAAACATGTAAGGCTCTATTTGCACAAGATGATCTCAACAACAGGACATTATACAACCAAAATATTACATGTCAGGGTGGTGTGTTCAGAGTAATGTAAGGATCTTCCATCATTACTGAGATATTGCAAAGAAGGTGACAGGTTCAGTTTTCCATATGATGTTGTTTCCTCTACATGGCTTTTGGCAAAAAATACGTTACCACAAAAGTCAGATTTTTGGAGCGTAACACCAATATTTGTGTTTTTAACTGACTCTCCCACATGGGTTTTGAATCTGCTTCCCGGACCTGCAAGCTTGGTGCACACATGCATGTCTAATTAAGTTTGCCGTTTTGCCTTACCATACCATACCCTGACCTGACTGTTATCATTCTTCTTGAGGATGTTTAGTTTGTTTACCAAGATGTAAAAAAAAATAATGTTAAAAAATTGTTCACTCTTTCCTTTTTCATTTGATTATGCACAACTTTAAAAAAGATATGATGATTTTCGGTTGTATCGGGTTAAAAGTAAAATATGTCATACAATATCCTGATATGCCAAGACTTAATGCACATAATAGTGAGTTTTTGCATTTGCTCTAAGCCTTGAAAACATGATCATCTCTTCTAAATAAAACCAGTTTTAGAAGAATATAATCATTAAAGGGTTTGTGTGGATTTTATTTGAACATAAAGCATGCACATTGGAGATTTCACAAGTGTCTAATTAATGAAGCCCCTGCAAATCAATATGTGCTCCCAAACCTTGCTGCTGAACAATGATTGTTTTTCCACTTTTCAATATGTGCTCACACCTGAATGAGGCTAAATGAGTATACTGCAGATGCGGAAGAGGACATGAAAAACTGCGACATATCACATCTCATGAATCTGATGGTAGTGTTTAAAACCAGCTCATTATTTGAAGCAGCAAGGACAAAAGATATGCATAAAAATACTACATGGAGATAAAGGCATGAATATGGATATCTTTGCAATCTGACAGGTATTGATACCAGCTATTAACAAAACTATAACTTACCTCGGTTTCATTCACAGAGGCAAGAAATAATAGGAGAAAAAAACACCTAACTGTGAATTAAAATAATGTTTTTGCAGCTAGGTGACCTTGTGCATGAACTAAGAGTGTCTGTGTTTGTATATTGCAGTCTGGATGTTGAGAATAATTTGATCTTGGTTAATATATCCCAGCGGCACAGCACTGAAAGAGTGACATATTCACCATAATTTCACTTGCAACCATATCATCAGACATAGGTTGGAATGGGATTAGATCAGCTAATAAAACAAATGGGAATTATGTTTGACATCTTTGCCGCTTTGAGGGATAAAGGAGGAAGATGTGAGCCAGACTGCAGACCTCTGACTGATATGTTATCAACACATCAATGCATTTTCTGGGCTCTGGCTTTTATGACTAGAATTTAAATTCCCAAGCATAATTGATTGTGGATATAAAGACTGATAAATAGTCCATAAAATGAGTAACACACTTGCAGACATAAAAAAACAAACATTCACAATGAAAAAAAAAACATGATTCCAAGGCAGTCTCTTGGCTCATGATACCAGTGACAGATCTGGACTAAAGTTTCATCATGTATCATGCATGAATGTCAACTTGATTGGTTCAGACTGTACAAAAGTGTAGTGTTTTTTTTTAGAAAACTAAGACCATTGTTTATAAGTTCCAAATGTTGGTACTTTAAAGGGACAGACATTCTATCCATTTAGAATTTCACACTTTTTAAAGGCAGTCCTTTTCTTCTTTAGTTCACAGCCTGGATGATGTCTCTGAAACATTGCATTTTGTGTCCCTGCCTCTTTTTTCCCCTGTTGCTCCATTTACACTATCCTTGTGAAACCATGCTGAGAACAGTCTGAACACAGTAACTGTGATAACTGTTGAGTGTAAATTAAATGCAACTGAACCGGACCGTGCCAGACACAACCTACTGTGACCGCACTAAATCTAGTACTAGTTTAACATTAGGGCTTGGCATGCTTCAGTTGCGGCTCAGTTCTCTGATAACAAAGAGCAGATGAGCAGCCCGCGTCAACTCCTATTTACAGTCAGCTGACTCATTTCATGTGTTTTCCAGCGTGTCTGGCTTTGCAATTCACAGATCTATTCACCTGTTCACAACACAAAATTCTTCTCAGCCTATTAACAATAAATGGCATAAAAAGAGCGTGGTGCAACCTGGTATGATGCAGATAATGAGGCTCTCATTGAACTTTGGGCAGAGGACACTATCCAGGCACATAAGTTCCTAAATGAGTTTTCCTCTCCACTGTCACTACATGCATGCTTGAGGGATTGCCTTAGAGTTAATGAGTTGATGCAGTCAGCTGTTTTTCCTGAGACAGAAAACTGTGAACCAATCTGACTGTATGATCTGGTTGAATTGTCTCTGTAAAGTGACTTAAGATGTCATGTGTTGTGAATTGGTGCAATACAAACTAACCTGAGATTTGCAAAGGAAATAGATACTCCCATTGCTCGAAGGTATGAGTCACATAAAGGTTTAAAAAGAAAGTCTATAGACTTTTTAGGAAAGTGGGAGGATTCTGTGTCTGACAACTAGTCTAGTCGTCTAGAATATGTTGACACTTGCCTGGTTCATCTATCTTAAGGTGGTTTGACCCTCTTCTTTGGAGTCAAGTCTGGACTCTGGCTTGGCCACTTAAATTAAAAAAGTGGTTCTGAAGCCACTCCTTTGAGATATTGGCTATGTGTTCTGCATCATCCTGTTGAAAAATGAACTCTTGCCCTGATTTAAAGTTAATAGCTGTGTGGAGAAGATTTTCATCCAGGAGGACTCTGTACATTTCTACATTTGTATTTTCTTCTATTCTGATAACTCTTTTTGTGCTTGCTGCTTAAAACAATCCCAACAGTATGATGATGCCATCACCATGCTTTACTCTAGGTGTGGTGTTGGTCCTGTAATGAGTGGTGTATGTTTCCTACAAACATGACACTTGCCATTTGCACCATGTACGAAACACGCATATGGAAGAAAATAAAATTAGATTAAATATATTTAGCACAACTCAGCATGTACAAAAATTAACGTTGCATTATAGTGTTTGAAAGTGTGTAGTAAATAGAGAAATAATCTATAAACCACCAAAGCTTACCTTCCTGTTTTTTTTTAAGAGTTTAGCCTTAAACAATAATGCAACCTAACTTTGAAAGATAATAGAAAAAGCCTTGGTTAGATGTTAATGTAAAAATTCCTTTCGATCTGGTTAAATCCGTATCAGTCTGTGTGCGGAGGAGCATAAATGTTTTTTCAATGTCAAAGAGCAGACTATGCGCGATGGCTTGCTTCTATTTTATTTTATTTCTTTCATTTTTGTGAGGTCCTGCATCATTTTGAACATTGATTATTCTTCATGTTAGTTTGTGGGATGACTTGTGCCTATTAGAAATATGGGAGTTTTTATGTAAATTGTAATGACTTGTTGTACATTGCAGTAGTTGAGACTGACAGACAGTTCTATTCAGTATTGTATATTAGGCCCCAGAGCTTTTTGTTGTCATGGTCTTAGAGTCCTTCAAGTGCCCTTTGGTAAACTCCAGACAAACTGTGATGTGCCTTTTACTAGGATTTGACTTTCATCTGGACACTACAATACAGCCTCTTTTGTAGATTGTTCCAAATATATATATATATATATATATATATATATATATATATATATATANTATATATATATCTATCTATCTATCTATCTATCTATCTATCTATCTATCTATCTATCTATCTATCTATCTATCTATCTATCTATCTGTCTGTCTGTCTGTCTGTCTGTCTGTCTGTCTGTCTGTCTGTCTGTCTGTCTGTCTGTATTTTCTTTCTCAGCCTGTGATGATTTACTGATATAAAAGTAGTTTGTAAGCAGACACTGATCAACTGATTGGGCTGTCTTGCTTGTGCCCATACCTTTTTATGTGAAAGACACTCGAGCATATCTTATGCAGATTGTTAACCTGACATTCATTTTTCTTTCTCTTCAGCAAACCTGGCTGCTACCGATATTATCTTTTTGGTTTGCTGTGTCCCCTTCACTGCCACTCTCTATCCCCTCCCCGGATGGATCTTTGGCAATTTCATGTGCAAATTTGTTGCCTTTCTACAACAGGTAACAGACTGACTCATTCTCTTGTCTTTAATCCTAAATAATGTTTTATATTTATTCTAACCTGTCTGTTTTGCTTTAAGTCAATTAATTCCAATGTTTAACTGGTGCGTTGGACGATTATTGATACACATCTTTTTAATGTGGGGATGGGGTTGATCAAACAATAAGTTATATGGTTATAATGACACAGCTCCAGTCTGGGTCTAAGGTGCTTGGAAAACAAGCAAGGTTAAATAGCCCTAGCACCAGTGCTGGGAACCTCTTCAGGAAAAAGCCGTCAACGCATCTTACCAGTCCAACAGGTTAAACATTTTCCACATAATCTAATATCATATGACTGCTCTACCTGGCAAAAATGCTATGGTTCTAATCCCATAGCATTATGGGATTAGAACCATCAGTGATGGTTAAACTGCATTTAACTATCCATTCGCAAAGGTGGACATCATGTATCACTAGCTATAATTTTGAAGACGTTCATACCATCACTGACTATTGTTCATGAAAATGCTTTGACAACAGGAATTATTTTACTGGTTAAAACTTTTTCACTTGTCAACTGTAAAGTACAGCTTTTGTGACAAAATCAATAGTTGTTTAAGTTCACTTATGATCATTACCTATTATGTAAGAATGGAGCAGAGGGACTACTGAAGAATAACTAAGCATTCTCTAAGCTTATCAGGGGCAGAGCTAGATGGGGGGCCAGCCAATCATTGGCCACCCCTGTTGCCACCCCTAACATTTTTTCCCCCTCTACTACAGATGATGGCAGCAGTAATACCTCTCAAGTGGAATGTTCAAAACATTTTAATATATCAACAATTATTTGACAAAAAACGCTGTGGTTAATTATGCACATCAATATACTTACATTAAAGATGATAAGTACAGAATTCATGCTTTTTTCAGGGTTAAATTTTATGTTATATGGGGTAAAGAAGATTCGTCTTGGAGTCTTCAGTGAAATCGTAGATAAATAAATATATTAGTAAAAGCTTATTAAATAGTTAATTTATGTAGGTATTAGTACTTGTAAATATCAGTTTTATGCATAATGATTATTAATAAAAGTAAGTAAGAAATGACAATGGAAAAGATGTTTGCCCCAGAACTCAAACCTAAAAGAATTTTATTCCATATACCATTTATCTAGAAAGCTATTTGTTTGCAAATGTCAAAAAAAAGGACAGATGGACCCAGTATTTTATTTTTTATTTTTTAATAATTTTAATATTTTTTATTGGACCCAGTATTCAAGGTGAGACAGTCAGTAGGAAAGTTCAAAACGTTTATTAATATAAAAACATAAACAAACTGAAACTAAAGTGGAGCTACAACGACCTGCGACTCTTGGATTCTGCAGGAGGGGGGCTTGACACCGCCCAATCTCTGACACTCAACAGTCCAGTCCATCTCCCTGGAAATGGGCACAATCCAGCCGCTGGACTGAAGACAGACGCGGTATGGATTACTGAGTGTCCTTGGTGTAGCAGTCCCAGAGAACTTGCAGGAAGCCGATCCTGGACAGGGATTCAGAACAGGCAGGAACAGACAGAACAAGCAGGATCCAGGCTTCCAGGCATCCTAGAGCTCCCAGGCAGGTTAAGAGTCCAGAAGCGTGACCAGGCGGATACGCACAGGAGCAGACAGGATCAGGTACAGAAGGGCAGGGACAGCACGAGACAGGACGTGTAACCAGAACTTAAGCAGGACCTTTAAACTGGTCTCCACCTTGGAGCCAGGCATACTGGAATAAAAACCTAACCTCCCCGCGTAAAGAACCAAAAACCCTGAGGACTCAGCAGGGGAGGAACAGTGGACGAGCAGGAGACGAGACAGACACAAAAACATCTTTCCTCTGGCTGCCAGGATCCAGAACATAAACCTTATATTCAACAGGACTTAACAGAAAACAACATTTAATGATCTGGCCCTGATAGCTGGAACCGAGCCCAATATAAGGCAAACTGGCAGGTGGATGAGATGAATGGTAATTAGGAGCTGGAAAGAGTGAAGCAGGTGAAAGGCATGAGTAATTAAGGCCAGCTACCACAGCAGATCATGACAGCAAAAGCTATGGGAAAGAATAGTTTGTCTTTATTTAAAAAATATGGATGTTTTGCTTGTTAATTTTCCCATTGGAACAGTGTAGAGTTACCCTGAGGTTCTGGTGCCTATCCACTTTCGGCCACCACTCAGTGTGCATTGGTTATTACCTGGCCACCCTTATAAAATGTTCTGGCTACACCTCTGAAGCTTATTGGTTGGAAGATGAAATGACTCTGGAGAACTTGGAGAGTCTGGAGAGGAAAATGAGTCTCAGGAATCAAGAAGAGGAATGCTCAAGTGTAATTTCTTTCATTGCACTGAATATGTACTGTATGTAAAAAAACAACAAAAAACAACAACAATTAAAATATGTATCCAGATTAGTTTGAAGGCTTTTTGTAGACAACTTTACAGTTTTTAGTGAGTATATTATGTCATTTTAAGACTAAAAAAATCTCTTCAATTTGCAAGGATAAAATCTTTAAAGTATGGGGTAGAAGAAGGATAGGGCTAAAAGAGTAAAACAAAATGCATTGACAATCATTTTCTTAAGTTGTCTTTTAGCAAATTGTTATGCATTGTTTTACATTTTAGGTTTGATAATAAATTGTTCAACTAAAAGATAAGTTGGCTAACTAAAATGCGTGTCATAGAAAATCATCCAAAAAGAAATTCCCTGAATAAGGTCACTATTGCTATATACAAATGCCAGTTCAGAAATGTTAAGGGGGGCATAGTAGGTATGTATAAGGGTTATTGTTAAGTTAACAACTGATTTAAAAGAGTAATAACCTGTTATTCTACTTATACACAATAATAAAGTTACTAGTTACTTTTGATACCGCCTTTTTTACCCTCAAAAAAGTATGCCAGATCTTTTGTATTGTGTGTAAAAACGACAACAGTTCTTTATTTAGACAGGATTTTACTGTTCTCATTAAAAAAGTACATTTATTCATTATATTCAATAATTTAACAAAAGCATAATTCAGAACCACTTTGAACTAATAGGGTTTTAGCCAACATTTGATCTTGTTAGTAAATAAAGCTACAAGTACAAGCTGTGTTAGTCTTAAATAGAATCTTCATCAGCAGGGGTCTTAAATAGCTTTGGAATTAAGCACATTTGTGTTAATCTCTACTTTACTTATTTATGCAATAAAGCAATTATCATAAGTATATGCAAAATGTACTCAAAGTTTGTTTCTTTTAACTCACAAGAGTGACATAATACAATATCTGCAATACTTCTTATTCCAACCCATAGTTATTATGTTTTAGCAAACCCTATGAAATAAGAAAAAGGAAGATAAGTAGCTGCTTTCAAACTGACTGCAGTCTAAAAACTATCGATTTTATTTATATAAGGTGAAAATTAAAAGGCCGGTTACATGGAGACTGAGGGAGATACTGCCAGGACCAACAAAAAAAAAGCAAGCTAAGAGTTGACCACAGAAGAGATTCTACCTGGACATTTTATTATGAATGAGGAGCAGGTGGTTGATTGGTTATAGGGTCTAGCTGTGAAGAAAGAGAACAAACTGAAATCAAACTTAACGGGAGGAAATGGCTGGTTGACTATATATATAAGGACCCTTATGAGGAAAGACACAAAAGCCGGCAGGGCATAAAAGCTGGAAAAAACAAAAAATGCATACACATTTTTAGGATTCTAAAAAATGGTTACAAAGAATCAGAAAGCAACAGCAAAGCATGCAGTAAATGGAAGATATGGGTGTCTGAGTCGGACCAAATTGCAAAGAGAAATTTTGAAGCTGCACAATGATTAGAGAATTAATGAAAATGAAGAAACTTCCCACATTGATAAACATGAACCAGACATGAATCTGTGTAATAAGGAAGACGACAACATGGATCAATGAAACCCAAGAAGCTTAAGTACCGTGCAAAGGAAGACAAGTGGCCCTAAAGCCATGAGAGCTTAATCAGATAGATTTAGATCATCCCAGGGAGAGTGTAAACTCTGGTGATTAAGGTAAGGAGTGAAATTATCATAGCTGAGCTGAATTGAAAAACAAAAGATATGTTTATATAAAAAAGTGAAAAAGCTTAACTATCACAAGAAAGAAAATATACAGAGAACAGATAAAAAGGCATTAGTATGACACTAAATACAATAAATGAATTAAATGGCAAGACCAAAATATTACATTCACAACCCGAAACTGAAAAAAAAAAAAATTAAAACAAATGACAAGAAAAAACATATTTCCCAATAATCCTTTGAAGTGTGGTTTTCATTTTGTGATAGCTTTTCCCTGTATTTTCTCCTTGCTTTTTTCTGTTAACTCTGCCATTGTGGGTTTACTATTTGATTTCCTCTCCTTGCGAATTTAGGACTCAGATACAGGTTAAGAGTTCAAGCATTTGATTTATTATTCAGTTTGCAAGTTTTTCATCCTTCTTTGATGCCTTTTTGTTGTTTTTTATGTTGTTATTTAAAGAAAAAAAGACAGGGAAAATGAACACTTAACACTCTGTATCCAAGGAAAGCCCCCCGGAAAGTGGATCAGATGAGCCAACCAAACACTAATAAATGTGCGACAGCAGTCCAACCTTAAACAGGTCTGTCAAAGCGGAAGCCGAAAACAGATTGTCAGGTGCTTTCATGTTAGTAAAAAGCTACTTGTGTTATTTATTCTTTTCCATTCCTATTTCAAACAAAGCAAACTGTTTTTAAGCCTCCCTTTTCTGAGTCATAAGACAGTATGAACTGGCCAACAATCGACTCAGCTGACTCCTACTCTGTTTTAAATGTCTTGGGTGGCCAGGGGAGATTGATCTACCAACAGGAATAGCAACTTGCTTTTTTACAAGTTAAAGGGCTGAATATACAACAAAGCAGTTCATGTCCTCTGTCACAGACCCATTAAGCTTCCTGGTCGACTGCTCCTCTGACCAGCCTGCCAGTAATCAGGATCTGGTTC